TCACTAAGCAAGCACCCAAAATCTGTCTTTCATTAGTGAGCCTTTTATTTCTTCGCTCTAATTCATAAACTAGAAATTTGAAAGACTTTGGTAAAAACATAATTTCCGTACCAGAATAATTATATATAACAGGATGAAGATTTTCTAATAAATCATCTACATTGATAACCTAATTTTTTCTGGTACTTTCTTTCGCAATCTGGCAATGTGGGACCATTCGTGATGCATTTTCTTTTGAAAAATCTTCTTCCACTAATTGAGCTGGGGGTCACAGATAATATCTGGTTAATGGAAATAACAGTAAAAATGATATAATTAGAGCTACACTAACCAAACATTTGTTCTTATCTCATTGCCTTTATACCTCCATAATTATTGGTTGGTTATAATATGCAATTCATTTTACTTTGGTAAGTTATATTCACTCTCGTAATTGTAGTTGGGACTCTCATTTTCCCAAAGCAAAATTTTTATTTTTTGGGGAGCGTCATGAAAAATTATTTACCCACTTGCCAGATTCTTAGAGGACGCACAATGATGACGTGTTGAAAAAGTTACCACGACTTTGAATTATTTTATTAAACTAGCGATATTTTAAATATTTGTTTGTTTACACTTCTTTAACCACCCCAGGCGGATAACTCAATCTCAAATCTTCACAAATAATCGCAAGAGATTAAATTAAATGCAAGGGTTTCGTAGATTATAAGTAACATGCGATGTTTTTTTTTTTTTTTTTGCTATGCTACTCAATCAATATGATGTAATATTACATGTGTTCTCATATGTTTTTTTAGAGGAATATAAATTGTGTACATATATGTGTTGGCAAAATAAATAATTAATTAAGTTTTTTTTTTTTATGTACAGGGTAAAATAAACCCAAGTATCATATATTGTTTAGTATAAATATAAACATCAGGACCACCTCACTTTATAAAAACTGTAATATAAATTAGTTAACAAGTCCAATTTTTATTTTTAAAATCTGCTATTTATTTCAATTATTTTCTATAAAAATGTCTATTAACTACTTCATTCTAACGAGAGAGAATAACTAATATTAAAGCAAGCTAAGATATCGCAATTAGATTAATACTCTCTAATCTGCAAATCCTCGAAAAAAACTCTCAACTCAAATTTTTACTAATAATGCAGAAGTTTATTTATGATAATCATGATTAACGAGACGGCCATCCATTGTATTGTACAGAAAAACGAGACCATCCATTGTGTTGTACAGAAAACATCATCATCAGAATTCAACACACGTTATTACAGAATACTACTGCTATTATAACAACGAACTTTTTCTCATTTCAAAATGGGATTTGGTCTATTTTTTGAAATTTGAAAAACTGATGAGTTGGGCAAGCTATTGATCTCCAAGCCCAGATTTTTGACTGGGGTGGGTTGCATGAGCAACCGTTTTTCTAATAGGCAAAACAAAATAGTGCTTTAAAATTTTAATGTCTTAATTAAATCATTTCATGAAAAATTTAAAGTACATCAGCATTACGTGTACGGTGTACCCAATCCTCACAGTTTCTCGAAATTTTAGAAAGGGAAAAAATTACTTAGCGAATATAGATAGGACAAATTTCTTGTTACGGTCTTATATATATATATATATATATATATATACGTAAATACAGATCCAGAATTGAAATAAATTCGATACGATATATATAGGGCAAGAATATTACACACATAAAACGTTAAACTTAAATCCCCTAAAAAAAAACGTTAAAAAACTTAAATTTGACTATAATTGTCAAAAGAGGGAAATTCTAAAAAAAAAAATACGATGATCTTAATTTAACTAGCTTAGGAAATTCAAATAAATGGCTTATCAAACTATAAAGCTTGTTAAAAAAACTAATGAATATAAGTCCCTTATTTCTTCTTGCTTTTCCAACGAAGAGTGTATCTTAACTTTCAAAAGGTTGACGTGAATCGCCAACATTGAACAAAGCCAATATGTCGAATACTTAATTAGGTGCAGGTAACAAGTCATTTTATCTTATGATTACAACTTAAGAACTTTGAATTAGGCTCTAATTAATGTAAACACGTGTACAAATAAGTTTGACGACTGAAAATTTTACAGTCATAACATAACAATTATTGAACGTAACATCAACGTTAAAAACAAATAATATAATCTTTAGATAATTAAATTCTTTGGTGTTATTTTTCTTTATAACATCGATATACGTTCAATAATTGTCACGTTATGTTTTCATAATAATGTTATATTGGAGGGACCTCTTAGGACTGAAGAAATATATATATATATATATATATATATATATATACCTCTTGTGTGGTCATTAATTTTCATTGGCGTCCCATGAATAATGTGTGTTATAAATAATAATATATCTTCTCTTCCTAAGGTAATTGTGTGAAAACAGTTGGGAGTAGGTATAAAAGCCGCATATATCATCACATGCTGAGAAGATTTTGATTTAGTTCTGAAAATGTGAAGTTAACGTCTTGAAATTAGTTTTTCACGACATGTGTATATGACACAATTTAGGGGGAAAAGAGTAGAAAAGAAATGAGAAAATTTTCATTTTAGAACCCTTTATTACATCGAAATTTAAGTTTGATATCTTTTATTTTTAAAAATTTCATGTCGGTACCTTAACCTTTTAAAAAATCTTTTTTTGGTACCTCGGAGCTATTTTTTGGGACACAAAAAAATAAAATTACCCTTATTGTAAAAATTTATCTGTTGATCAGAATTTTGAAGAAAAAAAGATTTAAAAAATTGTTATACCTATAGAGCATAATCCTTTTTTAAAATTCATCTCTTCAAAATCCTTTTTTAAAATCTTTTTTTTTTCTTCAAAATTCTATTCAACAGATGAATTTTTACAATAAGGGCAATTTTATCCTTTTGTATCATAAGAAATAGCTCCGAAGTACCAAAAAAAGATTTTTTAAAAGGTTAAGGTACCGGCATGAAATTTTCAAAAATAAAGAGTATCAAACTCAAATTTTGATGTAACAGATGGTACTAAAATGAAATTTTCCCAAAGAATGTGAACAATCTAATATATTGGAGTCTTTAATTAGTTCTCCTCTGTCTTATTTCTGGACCAAGTTTTTTCTTTAAAAAATATAATAAATTGACAAGAGAAGACATAAACTACGCATCCAAACTATGATCAGATGAACATATATCCTAGTGAGCTGGTTGGTGCTCACCAAACCCTATGTCGCGCTAAGCCTCCTATTTCTTTTATTAAAATGAAACAAATAAAAAAATACAAAGAAATCTAAAAGGGGTGGTGAAAGCCTGAAAAGTTGCTTTCACAATATAAAGTTCACACTTCAGAAAACAACAACAAATATGCTTCGTTCATTTTACCTATTCGAGTTTAGAATTCGAGTTTTGCTACAGTAAAAAGCTATCATAAACAGTCACATCTAATTTTTTTGCTACAGTAAAAAATTCTCACATAAAATCACATCTCAACTCGAATTAAAAACTCGAATAAGAAATCTTCCAACCAAAACCCAATGAAAAAAATAAATCTAAAAGGAAAAAAAGTATATATTTACTATAGATCCGTCGGTTAATTGGAAAAATAGCATATTCGTTGTGTTAGACCTAGATTATAAGTTATTTCCATTAGTTAATTATAATTGTGGTACAGTACTGCACTTTATTAATTAAATAAAAGACGTATGAATAATTTTCTGATGAAAGTGTTTGTATATATTGTGTATGAGCCAATTATATGGATCCTTTGAAAGAAAATAAATACAAATTAATGTATACAAAATCAACGGCTGAAAGATAAACTGTAAAGATAAAATTTTTTATGCGTGATTTTGGCGGGTTTTCTTATCATCGCGTAAGATCATCTAATACGTCTCTAGAAGCTTCCTCAATCTTCAATGTAATAAGCCAAATTAGCAAGAACATATGTAATGGTAACGAAGATGACTTGTTACTTATATCGTCCCAAAAGGTGACATATAATCTTTTACCAATTTCCTTGGACTTTTTGACATTTCCCGAGAGTTTTTCTTTTCAATTTTGCTTTTGACCTTCGGAAATTTCTATGGCAGTTCATCGACCCACATAATTTAACCAGTTATTTTGGAAAAAATCGGGTATATATATTATTCTAGGCTTCTGTCACCAAATTCTTGGAGCCTCTCAATGAGCCTCTCAAAATACGTTGCAAATTTTAAGAGTGATTTTGCAAACTAGTCATGAATTTTCTATTTAAGAATGATCAAAATTAAGTCCAAATCAAACTCTTCTCTATTTATTTTCTTTTTAATTAATAAAACAGTAGCACTACTAGTTTGACTATTCATACTATATATATTCACATGCTTAAAAAAAAATCATATATAGGGCTCATACATTATATATTTGATACAGAGATCCACGTATATATATAGCCTTGTTACTTGTCAATCTCCAACAAATCAGAAAACAAGTTATGATGATTTTCATGGTGTGATTATCAACATTTGCGTCGTAAACATCACGCATGTCAAATAAAACAATTTATGCCTGGTCAACAAGCGACCAAAAACCAAATCTTGTACACCCAACGAGTTGCGAGCCGTTCAAATGCGGCCATTTAACAAAACATGATAATTTCTAATGAGAAGAAAAAATTTCAAGCCCACTTTCGTCACCAAAGGCGTGTATCAGACGGACTCTTATACATCAAATATTTATTATATTTCTAAATATAGTCATTTTTCTTTCCTTTTTTTTTTCTCATGTTTATTTTGTGGTTGATTAGTTATGTCAGGTACTTTACCTTTTTGAAACGAATTCTCATTGTTATTCAATTGTTGAAGCTGGAAAGTACGGATAGATCAGTCCAAAGAAGGAAACTAACCGTATTGTCATAGTCGGTTTATAAATGTCAAAAAGTTCCTTTCTGCGTTCATATTTTGGAATTATCGGCCTATAAAAGCAGCTTTAAGCTTACCCCTCATGGCAATTCCATCAATATTCTCAGCGTTCTTAACAATAAATAATTAGGTTATAATTCATATACCAAAAGATGGAGAAGCTTGTAACACAAATCTTCCTTTGCAGTTTCTTCACTATTCTTGTTTTGCATTTTTGCCCTGCATTATCTGACGAAGTTGGTAATGATACTAATCATGCATGTTAATTTTAAGGCTGATCATATATATAGTAATCGCTTTTAAATACCTTCTATCCCATATGAAGATTCTTTTGTTATATTTTCTTTTATAATTAATTAAGTACTTTGTTTACTTTATGTTCTCTCATATATATATATATATTGTTTTGTTCATGATTAATATTGCAGAAGATGAGAGTGAGTTTAATTATGAACAAGGAAGCGAGAAGGGGCCAGATAGATGGGGAGAGATTCGTCCGGAGTGGAGCACATGCAGCAACGGAACACTGCAGTCTCCGATTGATTTGTTAGACAAGAGAGTTGAAGTAATCTCACACTTGGAAATAACTAAGAGAAACTACAAGCCTTCCAATGCCACTCTCAAGAATAGGGGTCATGATATCATGGTAACACAAATAATATTATATAAAATTAATACTCAGCCATATATTTTTGTTTATCAAGAATGTTTTTTTTTTTTTAATATATATCATATTTCTGATATATCTCAAATTTGTTATATGGTTGGCAACATTTTTATCATTAAATAGTTCAAATTATTGTTGATAGTTGTGGTAAATATTTAGTTGTTCGTTTTGGAAGTCAGGATAAAGTTGCCAGATAATTGATTAATGACAAAAATCAATATTATTATTTAGTTTCAACTTTGTAGGGGATGCGAACTTTTAGCTTAATACTAGTTTTCCATTCCCGTCGATTGTTTGATTGAAAAAACGTCGATACAAAAGAGCTAGCTAGCAACAGTGAAAGACAAAGTAACTCTTACATAATGGTGGGAAATCTAAATTAATTATGAAAAAAAAAATCAGCATATTGAAGGTCCTAGAGGTAATTGTAAAATTGGACAGTGATATATGTATTTATATTGAGTTATATCTTAATGTTACTTTTTTCACAAAAGAAAAAGAATTAAGCCCTTAGGAGTTATAGACTAATGTAAATTTTTATATTATTGACAAATAACTCCTGGTTAGATTGAAATATCCTCCAATTAATTTTTATAAATATAGCTAATTATTTTGTAAACAAAATTAGTAAACCTTAAATTGCTATAAATATATATATATATATATATATATATATCATCGATAAAAATGTAATTACTATTGAATATATATGAGCACGCCTTAGCGATTCTTTGATCTCTCGTAAATATTAACAATGAAATATTTCTTGTAATTTGTGTTGTGATGCAGTTGAAATGGAACTCAGGTGAGGCTGGTTATATTGAAATAAATGGAACTCAATATTTAATCCAACAATGCCATTGGCACTCACCTTCTGAACACACTATAAATGGCAACAAGTTTGATCTAGAGTTACACGCCGTTCACCAAACCCCAACAGGACAGACCTTCGTATTTGGAATCTTGTATCAGTTTGGAGAGCCTGATCCATTCTTGTCATCAGTACGTACACTAATTAACAATAACACCATTATTATATAATACTACTACCTAAAACTCTTATATATATATATATATGTTTAAAACATATAAAAAATAATACTGCTTATAATATAATTAATCTTCTGTATTTTGTATCTTCTTAATTAGGTGGAGGATTACTTAGAAGAAATTTCTGATACTGGAGAAGAGATAATTGTTGTTATTGATCCAAATAAAATAAAAATAGGAAGTCAAAGATACTATAATTACATTGGCTCTCTTACAACTCCGCCTTGCACTGAAAATGTCGTATGGATCGTTGCTTCGGAGGTAATAATATTTTCAAATATTTATATTGAAATTAAAATGATGTCGTCACAAAATAGAGTTTGATATGATGTCCGAATTACTTTTCCTAATTTTTTGGTTAATTGTTTTCTTCTAGATAAGGACTGTCTCAAGAGAACAAGTAAGCTTGCTTCGTGTGGCTGTCCACGATGTGAGTCAAATTAATTTTCTCGTCATTTTATGTGTTTTGGAAACAAATTTAGCAATTTATAATGTTTGATTAATTGTACTATTTGGCAGGATTCGGATACTAATGCAAGACCAATACAAGAAACAAACGGGCGCACCGTGAAACTGTTCAGAGACGACAAAGTAGACGAAGAAGATTAAATTAATATTTGTTTTATGGCTCAGATACTAAATCATATATAAATGTCTCTTCTGCATCATCAAATATTAGATAATGATGATATATACGTCAAGAGAGTCATAGGCTAATAAAGTGAAGAACATCAGTTCATTATATAAACTAAGAATTGTTTTTAATAACTTTTACTCTGTAATATCGTTCTTTTGTTATTGTATGATCATATGGTGATATATATGTATACACATTTTTTTTTTTTTGCTTGAATAGTACTATATCATGATTGATAGAGCCATTTAAGCTATCAATTAAAGAGTGTGTGGTAATGTCTAAAAAGCTCCAATGGTTACACGGTTCCATCTACGTGGGGTTGTGGTGGCTTAACGGTAATAAATAATTGTTCCATAGCTCTCTCTCTGTGTTATCGGAGATTCGATTTCAAATAGTGATGTTATGTGTCTAATATAATGAACCTCTAAAGAGATTTACGAACGGATCGTGTGATTTAGGGCCCGTTTAGTTCGTTGATTCGAGTTGAGATGTGACTTTATGTAATAACTTTTTTACTGTGGTAAAAAAATTAGATGTAACTGTTTCTGAGAGCTTTTTACTGTAACAAAACTCAAATTCTAAACTCGAATCGGTGAAATGAATGAGACTCTAATTTTCTTTTGGTTTCATCTACGCTCTTAATAAATTTTTGAAATAGAGCCGGATAGGGCGTGATCAGGACATTCTCTATTTTCATAGAGGGAAAAAAAAAAGTCCCAGCTGACATAATCAAAGTAGAAGATAAATTTTGATTATTTGACATCTATAATCTTCTGGTGGGTCCAGAAGAAGTCAGGGTTTTGAAAGAACTTCCTCAGTAGTACAAGACAAATAGCAACAAAGCTATTGAGAGCTACTAATTAACCATGCAGCTACAAGCTGCCAATTGGCAAAGTATCTAAACTATATGAAGACAAACAACAAATGTAAGCAGTGACGCAACTCATATTATTGGTTAGTATATATATGCCAGATTTAAGCAATAATAATAGTGGAATCCAACAATTCCTGCCATCCCAACCCGTACAATATTTCTTACTTCAAAGCAATAATTGACCATCCATCTATACTAAGAAAAATTAAGTACTAGTAAAAATTAAAATTTAGACAAAGGACTCTATTTGGAAGTAACAGGATTTTACTCAATAGTATTATACTATTTCTGTGTAATTATTTTAAGGACCTATCCATTTTAAATAATTGCAGATTTTATTAGGACTATTACTACTCACTTTCCCAAAAGCAAGTTCATAAAAAAAGTTTTGCTAACCCTGTGTACGTATATAGATCAAATGCAATAAGAATCCAAAAGTACGATCACTAGCGCTTTTTAGTGCTGAACTGTGCTTTTTTTTTTTTTTGGTGTGGCCAAGGACAAGTACTCGTCTTTTGAATATTATTCAGTCCTATAGTTAATATATAAGACTAAACATGAAATTTTGAAGGGGAAAATGCACAAACTAAGCATACACAACAAGTGATATATACCATATATATATAACAAAACCAAGCCTAAGTGTCCGATCATTTATCAGTTCTATAAGTACTAAATTGGTATAACAACGAATTATAAATGTCTTACCAAATTGTCCATAAGATTGATAAACTCTCTCCATATTATCCACAGATAATAATGATATATATCATGTTCATACAACTCTGGCAAGGACTTTTATGATATCATCCATAGAAGGTCTATGAAGAGGGTCATCTTCCAAGCAAGCCTTGGCTAGAACAACTAAACATAAAGCCCCAGCTAAAGAATAGTCCTTCAAAGATGGATCCATAAAACTCCTCAGCTGCTCCAAACACCCACCTTCACTAGCTTCCCCACCCAAGAATCTAATGGATTCTTTGAATGATTTTCCCTCCATATTGTCCTCTCTAGCTGAGATTAGCTCAAGCAGGACAATCCCGAATGCGAAAACATCAATTTTCTCATGAGTCATTGAGCTTGTATCCCATCCTGTAACGTTTTGATTATCATTGTAACAAATTCTCTTTGAAGAACAATTAAGTGGGAAGGCTCCAATTTCTCCCAATTTTGCCCTGAAATTTGCCGTCACGGAAATGTTTCCGCTGTGCAAATTCCTGTGAGCATAGGAAGGAAAAGTGCAACAATTCAAGTAGTGAAGGCCCGTCGCGATGTCGAAAGCAATCTGCGCCCTCTGATACCACTTAAGAGGACTTGAGGGATTGGATAAGCAGTCCCTCAGGCAGCCATTTCCCGGGTACTCGAACACCAAGTAAGACCAGGAACAGTCATCTTCCCCATAACAAACACCAAGCAACTTGACAATATTGATGTGGTTGATTTTCGAGTGCATGTCGATGATCCGACGAGTGTCTTCGAATCTCATCTGCTTGATCATCACTTTGACATTATCCATCATCACACCCTTGTAGACTTGAGAACCCACCTTGTTCTCCTCGGAGAAATCCCTCGTTGCTCTCTTTATCTCTTCCATGCGATAGTTGAACAATGAGAATTTTATCCCAACAAGAAGGTCGGGAGATAAACAGATGGAGCTTCTACCCGTTGCGGGGGACTTTGGAGAACTTCTGGTAGGTGAAGGGATTGGAGAGCTTCCACCATTGAAGGATTGGTATTTCTTGCTCTTCCATTTCTTTAAGGCTTTTATATACAAAATACACGCTATTACTGCTACAAGAACAAGAGAGAACCCAATAACAGATCCTGCTACATAAAAATTCCTTGGTTTTTTGTTTTTCATTGGCTTTTCTACAGTGATGGTGGGAAGAAAAGCAGAAGGTGGAGGTGTAGAACTAGGAATATTTAAGATTATGATTGGTTCGGCTCTCAAGGGAACCAAGACAGTTGTGTTTGGATAAACAGTAGGCTTGGGGGGTTCTAAATGATTAACTGCCAATAAATCTTCGGTAGATATGACAAATTTCTCACTGAGAACCGCGGTTTCGTCGTCTTCCACAAAAGGGTATGTCACAAGATACTTTATTCCTCTACTAGCAGTGGAATTATCCGGGCAGGCACATTTCAGCGGCACGCGAAGCTTGGAACCAACTTTGGCGTAATTGCTTTCTGCAGACGGGTTTTCCTCAGCTAGAGTTGGCAACTTCACTAGGCCTTCGAAAACCCCGCAGGCAATCTCCGACATCGACGTGGTATCGGAGATGGTGTAGCTGAAATTAGCCTGAAAATATTGGCCTGAGCAAGAACAGACAATGGGGACAAGAACTTCTCTGGCTGCTGGTTGGAGTAGCTCAGAAGGAGATGTGAGGTTGTTCAAGTGAAGCAGCACGTCCGAATCGACATTAAAGAGCTCTGAGATTCTTGAGATGGTCTGAAAATGTTGATTGGCTCTGTAGACTAAGAAAGTTTTGCATGAAGAATCTTGGAATGAATTGCAAGTATATCTTGAACCAGGAATGGTTTTATTCGAAGGACAATCTGATGGATCATAATACTGCTGGGCGTGGCTTGAACTTATTATATTGCATACCAGAATGAGAAACCAGAAATATTTCATGGTTTCTGTGATCAAATACTTAACATTTCTATTTGTTAATCAAAGAAAAGGAGAGAAAGGGAAGATATGGGAAATGAGAGAATAAAACAGAATTATCTAAAAAAGGAGAGAAACAATCAAACAGTTGATTAGCACCAATCCAAATGCAATTAGAATATTCGATTTTAAACAAACCCCACTTTACTTTAATATTCTCAAGTTCGGCCAACATATCAAATAGGTCAAAAAGTATGACCAAAATAAGACCAAAACCAGAAAACAACACAGCAAGAGCCGGCCGAAATGTTAAATGGCAGGTCGGAAATGGAATATTTTATAGGAAAATCTGTGACTTTTTCTTGCATGTTTCTTTTCAATCAGGGACCTGGGTCAGTACTATATTATAGCATATTATTTTCTTCTTCTTTTTTCTTAATTTTATGTCTATACGTTCCAAACTCCCCTAATTTAGACTCAATTTTCTGCAACATTCAGTCTAGAACAAGGCAGAAGAAAAAGCTTAACCTTGCAAACAATAACACAAACGAGATATTAGATTTAGACTTTGAAGCATGATGGTACAAGTTTTCTATTATGAGAATGCAATATTTATACATGAGTAAAGAGAAACCTATTCTAATTCAAAAAATTTAAACTAAATACTTATCTCCTAATAACTAATAATTCAAAATAATTCAAACTTTAAACTAAAAAATAACTACTAACTACTAATCTAATCTCTAAATATTATGGATAAACTAAATACGAACTGATTGAAATTAAAATAAATTAATAATCCTTATCACGACAAAGCTGGCATATGTAGTGCAAATTTATTTATTTATTTTGAAACTATATATGATGTACGATTGAACAGTTTGTCCAATATAGGACACAACATGACCTGTTTAAATTTAATCTTTAGCAGTGCGGACAAAAAAAAAAAAAAAAAAAAAAAAACAAAAAAAAAAAAAAAAAAAAAGACCAATGAACAATCAGACAATAAGCTTGAAGTTGAACACAAGGGACCTCTTATATGTACTAACCTTAAATATTGTTAGTGAGCCACGACGATAACATGATCTACTATATTTCGTTTCTATTTTATTTTTGAGAAATTAACATCTACTAGTTGAAGCACACGTGCACAATCCGTGTGTTAAGTTTTATATACTGTGTTATTATTAAAAACATAAAATTAAAAAAATGAAAAGAAAATAAACTTTTAGGGCAAAAAGAATCAAAACGAAAAAAATAAAGTTAAAAAATCGGTCAAAATGAAAAAATAAATAAGTCTTAGGAAAAAAAGAATCAAAATGAAAAAAAAAAAAAGAGGTTAAAGGGGAGCCAAAAAGAAGAAATAAATAAGTCTTAGGGCAAAAGAAACCAAAACTAAAAATAAAATAAAATTTCAGGACAAAAATAAAAAAGGGACAAAATAAGATCAAAATGAAAAAATAAATAATAAATTTTAAGGCAAAAATAACCAAAATAAAAAATGAAATTTCAAGACAGATAAAAAAGTGTCAAAATGACCAAAATGAAGAAATCAATATTTTTCAAGGAAAAAGTAAAAAAAAAAAAAAGTTTAAAAAAGGACCAAAATGGATAAATAAATAAATTTTAGGGTAAAAGAAACTAAAATAAAAAAAGAAAGAAAGAATAAGATTTTTGGACAAAAATTAAAAAAAAAAGGTAAAAAAGGAATAAAATGAAGAAATAAATAAGTTTTAAGATAAAAGAAACCAAACATAAAAAATGAAGTTTCAGGACAAAAATAAAAAGAGTAAAAAAAGAGCCAAAATAAAAAGATGAATAAATTTTAAGGAAAAACCAAAAATAAAATAAAATAAATTTTTAGGTGAAAAACAAAAAGAAATGGTAAACCAAGAACTAAAAAAATAAATAAATAAATTTTAAGATAAAAAAAAGATGGGGGACTTGAAAAAAAGGATGGGGAATACTTTCGAGCAAAACGGTGCAGTTTTAGTCGAAAGTTCTCCAACAATGATGCACTTTCGCATTTATAATAGATACAGTCGTTTGAATTTGAATCTTCTTAAAAACAGTGAACTTATACACATCTCCAAAAGGAAATCCTCGCTTGTTAAAACGTGGCGTTTAGTTCATGGATTTAAATTATGTAAGTAGAATTATTTTTGATTTACGTATAATTTTTGTGAGAGAAAATACTATAGCGAATCACGAACCATGATTCGAATTAGGGAACGAATCTAGATACCAAACGGTATAAAAAAAAAATCATAGTCCACCAACGTCAGCACAAGTACCATAATTTGCCGAATTCCGGGGTATGAAATGGGAAGGAGGAGATAAAGGATTCTCAAAAGATCTTCTAGATGACAAAATTTGTTCCTAATAAATTATTAAAAAAATTGGAAACGATATTATCTCGTAAAAACGACAATCACGCAAAAACAACAATATGTCTTTGAAACGACACAAACTCTTGGGGTTGTTCTTTTGCATTTTTGAGTTAGGTATTCTTGAGTGAAGATCTTGATTTGATTTTGAGTTATAACTTGAATTGAAGTTGTAACTTGAGTTTGTGTTTAGTTGTGTACATTTGAGTTATGGTTTGAGATAAGAATCTTTTTGAGTTTGTGTTTGAGTGAGTCAAAACTTAAATTTGTATTTAGATAGTATTTTAATAAAAACTCAATGCTGATAGAAAATTTTAATAGGGATCTTAATCAGAATTAAAATAAAAAAGTTATAGCATTTTTAAAAATAGAAAAAATATTGTTCAATAATTTGAGTTTGAGTTAAAAAAAAACTTGAACTCGAGTTTTAGTCTCAAACTCAAATTCAAACTCGAATTCAAATTTAAAAAAACATAAATTTAAATAAAATTATAACTCAAATTACTTTTTTTTTAAGTTTTTATTGCTGCCGAACAACCCCTTAACACACGTGAAAACAACAATTTTTTCACAAATGGCGTATTCTTTTGTAAACGACAATGATTACAACATCGATGACGTCAAGTAGATGCCTAGAAAACAACAATAACGACAACATTCTAGCAAACAATATATTTCTGTTTGAAAGGCTGTAATTTTTTTTTTTTTTTTTTTTGGGTGGGAAAGGTTGCAAATTGCAAAAACAACAAACTATTTCCTTTAAAAATTGAAATTAGGTAACCAATGTGGTTGCAATCTGATTTTCCACGTTATTGTTGCTTCTAACATTGAAGTTTAGATTTTGAATCCCTCAGTTAAAAACAAAAAGAAAAGAAATTAAACGTATCTTTATACAAGATGGAATGATTATTATGTCTCTTAGGCACAAAAATTTGGCATCCTCAAGCAAGATAAAAAATTAAAAATTTTAAGGAAATAACGCAACGTAAATCTTTATACAGAACAGGTTCTCGTTTGAGCTATTTGGCTAACAAAGTTTTATTAAAAAGACAACTTACTCGTTTCCCTTTCTTGTCTTCCTCTACTTACTGTCAATTCCGAACATAGCAGCTACCTTTTCACTCACACGGAGACCGAACGTACTGGGCCCTTACGGAACAGCTAGAATTCCATAGGTCTTACTTCGAGACCCCTTTCTTCTTTCCTTACTTGACTCCCTTACAGGGTCACTCGCCGCATCCTACCTTAGGTCCACTACAGCTGACCCTAACTTTTAATCATCATCATATGTTCATACTTAACCTCTACTACTTACTAGTTATAACCTCTTAAAAATTCAAGCCAATTTTTTTTTCTTACTATGTATGTCCAAATGCTGTAGCATTTAGCTAGCATTATGTTTTCAACTATTCATAAAATATTGTAGCATTCTGACAGCATTCTGTTACATTAGTCATACCTTGAGACTAGAGGTTGCTATGTATAGCCTCATTGTCTCATAAGCTTAACTTTTGTTACATAAGTCATCTATATTCATAAAACACTATTTACTTTTTACACATAAAGTTTAGCAGCATTTTCAAAAACACGTGATGCATCCACAACCCACTTGCCCACACTCCGCTACTACATCCTCTTTGCATGCCCATCAATAAGTTTCAGGGAACCGGTGCCTTACCCGAGCTTCCTACAACACGAACAAACTTAATGAGCTTTCGCTCAGCAAGTATCAATAGGTCATAACAGATGCAATAATTATGCATACCTATATATGCATTCATGTCATTTATCATAATACATTTTGTTCTACTAAAACATATATGGCTTATGTTCTTCTTCTTTCATTACATACTTTGGTATGCTTTCGTCTCATTCTAGTCGTTCATATTGTGTTTTCACATTCTGAATGACTTTCATTTCGTATTTCTTATTCTTTTCATTCTTCATTACAAATATCGTACCTTATATGGAACGGTTTCTGTTTTTTTTTTTTCTTTTTCTTGTCTTTTACTTCTTATGGGCCCTGTCCTGTTGTACCATAGCGCGCATAACCAGTGAGGAGTGGAGTAGCTAACCAATCCAACTCAGTCACGGTTTCATTTCTTTCATAGTCTCATAATAACCTTTCCTTCGAATGCTGGTACAAACAGGATGTTTAGTCTACCGTTTATCAATTTTCTCATTGAAACGATAACTTTAGTTAAATCTTATGAGTTTGTGCATTTTTTAGCAATTCATCATGATTTCTTTATTCGTCATTTTGCTATCATTTTTTCTCAGCATGACAGTAATTTCAATCTTATTTTGCGTTTTAACGCATTTTCATTAATTTTCTATGAAATTGACTTTGACTTAATCTCATACTTTTCGTAGAGTAAATTTCTACTACTATTTACGGTCCATAAGTACATTTATATCACCGTATATCTTAAAACATTCATAACATCATACATCTTGAATCATTCATAGCATCATACATTATTCAAGAAACATCATTCTTATTCTAACATTCATTGAGCATGTAATATGCACAATTCTGTGCAACACAGAAGAATAAGTTCGTTCGTGTCATAGACAAAAACAAACTACTGGTACTTACCAAAGTTTCGCTAACAACGCGTCCCTTGTCTAACTTGACGCTTCCCGACTTCAATCGTTAATAGATCCTATTGCATAAATTTTCGATCATTAGATTCAAAATCTAAGATTAATAACCACTTGAAATTTAATTCGAAAGGTCTACAATTCTTATGTTTGGTATTCTATCCCAAACTATTTCCTATCTCAAGAATTTACATTAAAACCGTGCAAGTTACTCAGTCATGGGCCTAATTCTCAGTTTCAGTCCAAAACTGTGAATTCTCGTTGTGTTCAGTTTCTAATCATCACCGATTATCGCAACATCTTTCTTTTCACCCCATATTTCTCTTGAAATCCAGTTTTAGTTCAAATTACTCAAACTAAATTTCTGCAGAGTTTCGCTTTGTTTTTCTCGTTTCTCGAGTTTCCAATAACTCGTTTTAATTCCGATTTCGGTACCTGGAGTCAAGATTCACATTCCTAAACACATATTTCAACATAATATTGAACAAAAACACATGTTCTTTCTTAATCTAGGCTCACGGATTTTCAATGAAAATCCACCAAAACTTCGTTCAACCGTTATAATACTTACACCGTTAGACTCCTATTACGATGCTCTACAAAACCTCGATTTCAATTTTTACTTTAACGAAAGTTTTCTGAGATGGGTGACTATTCATCTAAATCAAGAAATCATAGAATTCTCATGAAAAAATTGAAATCTTACCTCCAGAAGTTGAGGTTTTTCGTTAGAACGCCTCAGGTTACGTTTCTACCGAACTGAACGGAAGAAATTTCGGTGAAAATACTTGATTTTCCTTGATTTCCCTTTCTCCGTCTCTCTCTAAAATATTTTCTCTTTACTTCACTCTCTCACGTTTTTTTCTCCTTTTCTCTGCTATGCCTTACATTAATGGCATTAAACTACAAAGGCTCACACACATATGAGATACATAACCCACGTGAGTCAACAACGTGAGTCACCAAGCTAATAAGCTTAAGCATATAACTATGCCAAGTGGTACATCTGCATGTGAGGTATATATCCACCTCACGGTAACAATTCTTTTTATTTTTTTTAACGTACTTAAAAGATAATCTTATATATATATATATATATATACACTATAACTTGGTTCAACCTGCTTTTATTTTTTGCCATATTAAAGATACGTGCTAGCAAATGAGTGGGTTCTATACTCCTTAAATTTTTTTCTTGTCGAGACCTAACTTTCCGTTTCTTAAAACGAGTCTCTTTCCGGTACTAATAATTCCACAACCAGTACATGTTCTATACTGCTTTTTTAGACTGTCGAGCACCATGGGTCAAACTTATCATGTCCAACCCAATTATCTTGGGTATCTCATTAGTCAATTTTTTTTTTAAATTTTCATTTTAATTGATTCAGAATTGCCCAAAATGCGTACCCTTGCGGTACTCATTTTTTTAGCAGTTTCTCGTTTTAACTGACTCGGGAAAATTCTATTTCAGGAACTTTTGCTATTTTCCTTACTTCTAATATTACTGCTCTTTTTCTAAGTGGTCATTTTGTCACAAACCAAATATTTTAGTTTTTCATAACTAAAATATACCTGCTAAAATTTTTAACTTTTAACTGATATTTCACTATTCATAACTGATATTTACAAATATTTTTTATAAAAATATTCGTATTATAACTTTACACTTTTTGAGAGATTTTACCCCGTACATAAAGTTTATACATAATATTTTCTTAATCAAGCTAAAAATTTTACTACTTTCTCTTTAGAAAGAAATTATGATCAAATTAGACCTGAAATTTTTCCGGTCATTACACTCGTAAACGAGAATACTTTTGATAAATGACAAAATATCTTACAAACGACAATGGTTTGAAAACCCACAAATTTGATAGACTGAATTAACATATGAAACTGACAAACTGCAGCATAAACGACAATTAAATAGAATAACGATTCACAGGCGGAAGACACTTCTTTTTTACTTTTAAGAGTCTTCAAAAGCCTCAAGTGTGGGAAAATTTAAGTGTAGATGATGCAAAAAATACATAAAATAAGAAGGCTTGAGGCGTATATGAATATATTTTTTTAAGATTTTATTTGCACTCAATTATTAAAGTTTGTTAATGAGTTTTTATTGTAAATTACTCACAAGATACAACAAACCCTTGAACACAATATCTAGTAATAATATTGTGTTCCAAGACATGAATCAAGTATAAATTTTTAGAGAATTAATAAAGACAGAAGTATCATTTCATAAATGAATGCATCATCTTCAAACACTACAACCATTTACATAGAAGTACCTCTTAAAATGTAAAGATATCTCTTCATGTATTAATGTATCTATTATGATAGATATGTCTATTGTTAATAGATATTCAGAAATGTATGAAAACATATCACAAATAGTTTTAATGGTTCGGCACAATTCAAATCACACATCATGAAACTGCATAATATCAGAGTACTGGGCACTGCAACACCCAAACTAGTGAGTTCGGGACCATCAGCATGCATGAGAAGTGTTGTAGCACGCAGGGCAGGCACTGCAGCGGGTTTGGCAGCAGCCAACTACACAGTTTGTGCAGTTTTGGCACTGCAGTGCCTCGGATGGCCGCTGCAGCGCTTGTATCGCCTGGTAACATATTTTTTTGTGTCTTCAACGTCTAAAATAGTGTGAATTAATTTGAGAGACATATTTTAATCTCTCTAACATTAAGAACCATAGAAGAGCACTATTTCGGAACGGCAATGTCTTCTATGTATTTCTTAAAATAGACTCAAGAAACGACAACTTTTATAAAAACTGCAATGCTGCTAAAAAAACGACAATTTATTTAGAAAGAAAGTAGTGTTGATATATGATAAACACATGACCTATGTACTCATGTGTTGATGTGTGTCTTTTGGAAATGGCCAGAAATGCGGAACAAGCTTAAGAAGAAACCATAAGATATCTTACAAACTCTCTTCCTGACGACAAAAGTATATATATCTATATCTATATTATTTAGAGAGAGAAATAAAAGAGCTCAAATACAAACGGCTATAGCCACAGGAAAGAAGACAAAGACCTTCTTAAAGTATATGAGTCTAAATTTTTACCCTTTAATATAATCAAATAATTATTAGCCCGTTTTGTTTATTATAAGTTTGAGCAGAAAAGTTTAAATTTAAATTTAAATTTTGAGAGAGAAAACACTGTAACAAAAAGATTTACACAGTAATTCAAACTTATAAAACAAATGGGGGTTATATTATTCAAAAAGATATATATTTTTATAAGATTCAAAAATATATTAATCAATAGTAAGGGGTACAAATTAAGATTCATATATTCTTAAGGGTGAGTTCAGTAATTTTCTCATTAATAAGAACTAATGTTGAACGAAATACACGGATTATTAAGAATAGGTATCTTTGTTGTCTACTGTGCATATGAATAATCATTTTTATCTCACTCGGTTGGATACCAAAGGTCAATGTATTCTTCTATATATGTATAGTTTTATATTATTATTGATGTCTTTTTTTTTGGGGGGGGGGGCTGTCTGCCTAATATTCGCGGCATTGTGAAATGATAGAAAGTTCCTGAAAAAGCAAATTATATGATCTCAAACCAATATCTCATAGTCTCATTATAGCTTCTTATTTGGAATAAATTCTCTCATAAGAGAGGAAAAACAAAGAATTAAGAAAATGAAAGAGAGTCATGGGGGAGAGAGAGAGAGAGAGAGTTAAACCAAAAAACTCAACGACCATTCGATGCCGCAACAAACTGAAAAATACGTTTGCAAGAGCTCATACAAAAATATAATAATTTGCACAAACCATTTTTAGATTCAATGCAAGTATAATTCATTTGTCTCAAGGCTCTTCATTAAGTGATTTCTACCTAATTTCTTGTATACAATAAAGGCACTAATTTATTCTGGTGAAGAATTCTCCAAATTGAGACTTCTCATCTTAATTCCAATAAACCGCGTTGGACCACATACGCCCAAAAGGTACAATAGTTAGTACAATCACAAATAAATAAATAAATAAATAAATAAAGAACAACATTAAATAATAGAATGTAAAATTCCTTCCCTCTTGTATTCTCTGACGTGATACAGAATGAATTAAAAGATGGCATGTAACACACGTTACCCGGAAGCTTCTGCGATGATCTGATCTTCTTCTTATCAGAATCATCGTGGCTTATGATGATCATCAGCTTATTCCTTGATGGAATCTAACCAACAGATGTTTGCTACCTGTACTCAATAAATTCAAGACCCCTTAGTGTCAAACGCCTATTAATTTTTGTACTGCTGTTTTTATTGTATATATAGGGCCGTTATGGACTGATATTAGATATATGCATAAACAAGCTATATAGCCTACAAGTTTACTGATCTCATTGCCTTTTTAAAAAAAAAAAAAAAAAAAAAACCCTAGACTCACAGAGAGATGGAGAAGGCTGCTGTGAAACAAATCTTGTTTTGCATTTTCTTCATTTTTCTTGTTCTGCATTTCTGTCCTGCAACCTCCCAGGAAGTTGGTAAGGAATTGATGTCTAAAAATGACTGTGGTTTTATTACTTCTTTACGTTGTTCATTTTGTGCATGCATGAAAGTTTAATATCTGCATTTTTTAAGTATTGCTAGTTTTTCTTGGCCTGACATGTTTGTTGTATAATTGGCGACATTAATATGTTGCAGAGGATGAGAGGGCGTTTGATTATGAAGCATGGAGCACCAGGGGACCGGCACGGTGGGGACAGATTCGCCCCGATTGGCGGATGTGCAACAACGGAACAATGCAGTCTCCTATTGATTTGATGGACCAGAGGGTTCAAGTAATCTCAACATTACAGAGACTTAGGAGATTTTACAAGCCTGTTAATGCCACTCTTTTGAATAGGGGTCATGATATGATGGTAAGCACCCCCAAAAAAAAATTAAAAAAAAAAAAACAGATAATAATAAAAACTGTGATTATGTTAAATGCTAGTATATGCGCCCATGCACCTAATTGTAGTGACATTATTTATCCTTGTTAGCAATAATATTTTGGTAGCTAAGTACTTATTTACATGTTTTTTCCAAAGTGGAAAACTTGTGAAAAACTATCACACGCATGGTATGTTTTTTCTACCCTGTAGTCCTTGATAAAAAAAAAAAAAAAATGCTATATAAACTGAGGACTTCACGCTCAGATCAAATTAAGTTACCAATATTTCTGTAAACAAAGTTAAATTCTCGTTTAAAAAAATACGTGATATTTCTGAGTGTGTTAAAAGTACCCAATCAATAACATCCACTTAAACTAGCTAATTATTATAAAAAAAGAGACAAATACCTTTAGAATGCGTGATTAATACTCTTTAGTCAAAAGAGTTGTATTAGTTAAAAGAATATTAATCAAGAATAAAGAGTAAAAATAATAAGTGTACCAATTTTCTCTAATTTTTATTAATAACCACCTTTATAAAAATCAGTCCTCCAGCATTAAAAAGAAAACAAAAACAAAAACAAAACATGAATCACAACTATGTACCCTATCTTCTTTCTGAGTACGAACTATATATATCTTTTTGTTGTGGTGTAGATGAAATGGACATCTGGTGAAGCTGGATATATTGACATGAATGGAACTCAATATCTACTCCAACAACTACACTGGCACTCCCCTTCTGAGCATACCATCAATGGCAGGAGGTTTGATCTAGAGTTGCACATGGTTCACCAAAGCCGAACCGGACAACTCGTCGTAATCGGAATCAATTACCGGATCAGCAGTTCTGATTTCTTCTTGTCATCGGTAATTAAACTCTATCAGAGGAACTAATTCCTCTCTCTCTGATCTTGATCTCGATCGTGCTTAATTTTTTTTTTTTTTTCTACAGATGGAGACTCATTTGCAAGACATTGCCAACATGAGCTATAATTCTCAACCGCAAAAATTGGTGGGAATAGTTGATCTAAGACAATTAAACATCCGTAGCCGAAGATATTACAGATACATTGGCTCTCTCACAGTTCCTCCTTGTACTCAAAGTGTTGTTTGGATCGTTCTTCAACAGGTATATATATATATATATATAATTCTTTTTAAGTAATATTTTTCTTATCCTGAATATCATCATCAAATTTTCTTCCTCTAACATCTCGTTTAATTAATCAATTTTTTTTCCATGATCAGACGAGGCCAGTTGCAAGAGAACAAGTGAGATTGCTTCGTATGGCTGTTCGCGACGTAAGTTTGAATTTTTCTCTCAATTAATCGCTTGGTTTTGTAGAATTAATACCTATATTTTTACTAATTAATAAGGTTAATTTCTTTGATGTTGGTTAATTGTAAAGAACATTTTGTAAGATCACCAAATATTGGTTCCATTTTTTGACATGGTTCCGCTTTGTATTTGTTTACATGCGTCTTTTAAGTCCTCAAATTTGCAAAAGAAGCAAAATATATAATTAAGAATTTTGTTATGATCTAGTTAATTAAGCATATATATATATATATATATCATGTATGTGTACGTTATATGTGGCAGGGTTCAGCAACAAATGCAAGACCCTTACAGCGAAAACACGGGCGCTCAGTGCAACTATGTAACGACCAAGTAACTGATCAAGATAAGGATTCAAATGCCGGAGTACCGCTCAACTAGATCAAGAAAAACACATGATTATGTCGATCGAGAGAAATAGCCTAAATAAAGTCTGCAGAATTTTATTTTGCATAGGTTTTCCTCTTTATCCAGCAATAAATATGATTGCTTAATTTGGACTTCGTTTTTTGTTGTTGTTGTCGTTTTTGTCCTAAAGATGTATTTGTCTCTTGGTGCTTTTTGCCTTCGGGACTAATTTCACTTGTAGTATCATAAATAATAATGTTCGCGATGTCGTAGCGAAATTTTGCAGCCATGTAATTCAAATTGCATGTTATAATATATATTTATTATTTTATTGTATGTTAATAATTGCTATATTGGCAATTTTAATCGGTTCAAGTAATAGTTCTAAAGAATATTTGCTGGCTCATCTTTTATATTTAGTTCCAAGTCTACTGAGTCAGCATGATGTTGATAATTCGAAAGCTGTCGTTAAGATGTTAGAAAGTTGTTATGATTATAATTAATTAGCATTTAATTAATATATATTAGTTCTCTGGACTCTTCCGTACGTAATTCCTTCGAAATTATCATAATAGATTTTTGTATATAAATACAAGCAATCATCATTAATAAAATTCACTTGAACCTTTCCATTATTTATCAAATCATAAATGGCAATCTTTATACTTTTAGCGTCAGTTTAATTCGTTGATTCGGATTTTTAATTCGAGTTGAAATATGATTTTATGTGAGAGTTTTTTACTGTAGTAAAAAAGTTAAATATAACTATTTTTAAGAACTTTTTACTATAATTAAATTTAAATTTTAAACTTGAATCAGTGAGATAAAAGGGCATTAGTTGTCGAATCATAAAATTACAAGTTTGCAATCTTTATGTTTACATTCTTTGTGGAATATTGGTCGGGTTTTTTACTTTTTGATACCGTGTTTTGTCTTTTCTGGTTGTTTGCTTTAAGTTTTCATGATGATAAATCATAATGTATTTATTTGATCAATTATCATAATGATGAGATTTGTTCCGGACTTAAAAATTGAGTTATCTTTCATAAAGTTGAAAGTTTACCCATCACGATCATATTGTATAGTATATTTTTCTAATGACACTAAATGATGTGGATTATTCTGCTTCAGTGAGTATGTTATTTCATATTTAAGGTTTATTATTGGTTACTTTTCAATTTTCTTTTAATCATTGTGTGACTCATTTATTACACAATTACACACATTATAATAAACAAGTTATAATTTACCACATTAAAGATTTTTAAAAGGGAATTTTCTAAGATAGCTTTTGTGATTACAGTGATTTCATGGGATTTAAAAATACATTGTGAAAGTTCTAGGTGTAAGAAAATAATAATAAACGAAGGAGCTCTTTGAGGCTGCTATGGATGTTTGTCTTATTATTTGTAGCCGCTTAATTCCATAATTCCCTGCAAAACAAATTACTAAATCTTGAGAGAAAAGTACCAAGTTTATCCTAAAAGCATCACTGATACTTTTTTTTTTTTTCCTGAACTACTGCTTCTTCTTTTGTAGCAAAATCACTAGTGAGAAGTGAAAATTTTGTATTGTGTCAAAATATTGAGCCCTAAGGTTACTCATGGGTTGTTTGGTTGGGGAATTCGTACCCTGATTCGAATCATAGTTTGTGGTTCGCTACAATATTTTTTCTCACAAAAAATACACGTAAATCGAGAATAATTCTGAATCATGGTTTTGAATCTATGAACCAAACGTTTGCTTAGTGTCAATTAGCAGAGAGATTAACTAAGAAGACTAGACCTGATTTATGAAGAAACAATAGAAAGGGGGGAAAAAAGAATAAAAGAAAATCAAGAAATTAATAAAGCAACCACGTGGGGCATATACTTCATAATACATAAGTCGAGCAATAACCCAACCATATGTCATTACAAGTTGAATACATGAATGAATGTCTTACCAAACTAGGCGATAAGTTTAATAAGGGCACTTCATATTTTGGCTAGGAAGCTTGAAAAAATAATGGCTAATTAAATTATCTACGCCATATGATTGTACCATCCTATAACGTAGCAGGAACTTTGATGAATGGTGATATCGTCCATAGATGGCATTAGATTTTTTTTTTTTTTTTTGCTTGTAAAAGTTGGTATAATGCTCAATCAAAGAATTGATTCAAATGATGAATACATTACATTCTGCTATTGTACTCTCGTTCATTGTATACTATTTAAACACGAGACATTTAGAAAGACTTCTCTTTTATTCAGCTTTTATCAAATGGACATTAAAGTGGGTAATTTTACAAAAGATCAGAGAATAATCATCTTCCAAGTTCGGAGCAGATCCTTAAGGTTCTTTGTAGAGGTCGGATTATAATTAAATTTATTTAGAGCGTTAATGGCCGCTCTCGAGAGTTGATTGCGTTGGTGAGTCGATTCGGGTCGATTTGAGTTGATATATCGCTAAAACGAGAATGTAAAGTGTTGAAAAATAAATTGACACAAGGATGTATAATGATTCCCCTGATAATCCCAAGGTACGTCCACTCTAGGGTCTTAAGAGTTCACTGTGTAATGAAAATAGTATAATTACAATGCTTTTGTGAGAATTAGAGAAGGAGGAGAGAGAGTCTAGAGAGAGTGTCTAAAGAGAGAGAGTTTGAGCGTAATATGAGGAGTCTATAATGTCTTGGTCATGATTCTCATCCCCTATGTATAGGAGATGACCTTATAGTTTATTCTTTTCTCAGATTAGATAGTTTCCCTTTTCCTTCTGTTGACTTTCTCTTTCCTTATTTCCATATTGGCTTCTTAGAATATTTCATGTTTATTATTGATCTGATTTGACATTTTAATGCAAGATTTAGCTGAGATCATCTTCGTGGCCTCTAAGAAATTTCCTTTCTTAGATATCGGTGATAGTCCCTACACTCTTCATGTCGTCAATCTTCTCTAATCGTTTTAAGTCGATCTGGTCTTCAATTGATTTCAATCAATTTGAGTGGCCTTTTTTTCTAAATGTTGTCCATGTGTACGATAATAATTGTGGTGCTGATTTTGACCCTAACATTCTTTAGCTTCATTAAAAGTCTTTATGCATAAAAAAAAAAAAAAAAGGTTTGAAGCAGCCAACCTCCCAAAGAATATGATATGAAGTCAAGCAGGAATTACGGGTTAGGTTCTCCTCAGTGGGTGAGCAAGACAGTATACTATTAAAAACTTATCGTAAAACAAACCACAATAAAATATTTGTTTCATAAAATGACCATGCATATGATATACGGCAACAATGATGTATCTAATAAACGACAATAAAATCGACCACATCCTTACCAGCTATGAAATTTATGTAAATAACGATATGTCTAATAAACGACAATAGTTTTAACATGGCAGCCTTTAAAAATGACCACATCTATCTACATAATCTCTTTACATCTCTTTACATATTACTAAAGATGAATTTTTTTGGTTGCCAAAATAAGTTTCGTTCAAACCTTTTTCTTTTTTTTTTTTTTTTGGCTGTGAGAGAAAAAAATTCAGTGTGTTAATCTTCTTTAAAACGCCATGTGTCCGTCTTTGATTGAAAGTTTCTTCAGTGGAATCCATGTGGTGACTTCTGGTTGAACAGTTTTGTAAATGACGTTTCTTTTTTATTTTTTTACTTTCCTTCCTTTTTTCCTCTCTCTTTCTTTTGTTGTCTCCTCTTTTTTCATTCTTACATTCTTTTTGCCCTATTATACATCTTTTTTTTTCTTTCTCTAAATAAGGCTTTAATAAATATGTTTTTTATTTTTATTTACAGAATGTCACGCGAATTGCATACGTTTCCAGCTGTCTTAATAAAAGAAATATTTTTTCTAAAACAACAAATTTGTAAAAACGGCAATATACATTAAACAAAGAACGTTTTGAAAACGTTAACAACAACATTAATAGACACAAAAATAATTATGGAAATAACAAAATCTTATAAAAAAGTCTCCCGTCCTCAAATAACAGCCCTTTTTCTCGTGTGCAAGGAACATCCCATGCTTGAGGTGTGGGGTTGCAAGGCTTCTGCCCTGCATTAGCCAAAGGACTAGAGCAGGGTGCAGCCGCCTAGGCCACCCAACGCGGACCCATGTCCCCGAGACAACGGTATGATGAGCATTACCTTAGCTTGGCATGGAGCTAGTGGCATGTCAGGAATCCCACCATCATGGCCATGTTTTGAAAACTTCAATAAATAATACCATGTTCTTTTTTTTAAAGGGAACTTGCATTTAGACAAAAAAAAAAAGAAAAATAAAATACACAATACAAGACTAATGACCCATCAGAGTGACAGACGTATGCTTGACGCTTGAAAACAGAAGAAAACCTTGGCACACTAAAAACGAGCACACCTAGGGTTCGATTTGATAAAAAGACCCCTCCCATCAAGATAACTTTTTGAGCTATAAAGAGACAAATCACCAACCCCCACATAGAGGGAATATCAACAACACGACATAGACAAAATTCTAACAGGACCAAAAAATCCACACCAATGGTAAACAACCTAACCAGGTGGAAAACACAACCAAAGCTGGAAAATGGAGAAACCACCTCCGTTATTACAAAATAAAGCTGAACACAAACTGGCAACCAACAACTAAGGAATAATGACAACGTTGCCTTTATTACACACTAAACACAAAACCAAAAACTAAAACAAAGAGATACCTAAAAGACACTGATCGAATTTCTGAGAGATAGTCGGCCGCCACCAAGAAAGAGTGAGGGACCTGCAGCTAACCAAGTGATATGAGAAGATACCAAAAAGGGACCGAGCCACTGCTTTCATCTACTGCTTATGCCAAAAGGAAGAGCCTCATGACCTATGGAACTATCACCCCACGAGTCTCGAAACCCACACCAAGTAGAGGAGAATCGAAACACCCACACGGCACCAAAGTTCCCATCCACCTCCAAATTGCGAGGAGGACCGCAACCACTCCACCTCATCCACCATCTTTGACCACCGAGCTGCATACAAGCCCCCTCGCAAGGAGCATGATATTGAGAAGACTCATCCATGGTGGTCTCATACTCACAGGCACACATATGCACAAAGCGTTAGCAACTAAAAACAAACCGAAAAAGCCTCCCCAATACCCATATCTCCTCCCAAAATAAGGCATCGTTAGAGTTTCACCGGAAAGCCAAATCCGCTACATCTAGGCACCTTTTCACGGGCCAAGAGTCTGGAGCACCGCCTAAAGGTAGCACTAGAATCCGGCCCTTTGAAACCCATAACAGAGGTGGCACAAAGA